TTTTTTAATTATTCAATATTTTACTAACAGAATAGTCAAGTAGCAACCTGTTTTTTGCGCGATTTGCTGTCAGTCAAATTTTGGAATAAAGAGGTGGAAATTTATTTTATTTTTTTGCAGATTTGTCGATTAACCAAAAAATTAATCGGACGATTAATCGACTGTTGAAATAATCATTATTAATCATTAATCATTAAGCCCTAATATATAGCAGCGTTTCTACAACCATTATACAAGTGGGGCGCCCCGCCCTGTCAACAGAACTGAACCGAACTCGAAAAAGCTCCACAGCCGGTCTCTTCCGTTTCTAAGCGTTTACAGACTGTTATTAGAAGAAGAGGAGGCTTCACAGATGGAAATATTTACGTCAATGTGTTGCTGCCATCAAACTCAAAATGAACTTTTTTTTCCTCATTTGCCGTTTCCAGTGTTTCCAGTGTGACCTGATGGAGACTCACTGAGCGTGTGGTGGAAGGTGCTGCTAACAGACTCATCCCACTGGCTCTGGAAGAAGGCCAGGCCTGCGGGCGTCATGTCCTCCTGGTGCTTCCTGTAGAACTCCACCGTCTTAAACGTGCGATCCTCCAGAGAGTGGCTGAAGAGGAGAGACGAGACTCAGGATTTACAAACGACTCGCACCAAACGCTGCGGGAACGTAACGTTTGCTGCCATCTAGAGATGAACTGTTCAGTCGGGGGAAAGTTGTTTATTTTAGTCAGAAAGTAAACAAAGATCTGCACGGCCACGATAAAACAGTAAAGATATTTAGATAAAGTTTGAATCTGGACATTTGATGCCACCTGTGAGTGCAGGTCAGATGTGTTTGCACACGGCCTGCCTCCTTCCAGCTTGCAGGGCGTGTTAGGGCTGACTCTCAGCTACTACCAGTCCAAGTGTCAGCTCAATATGTTTACATTCTGCTGAAGCTCCAGGAGCTTCACTCTTTGGTCTTCTGTGACGTGATGAAGACTTTGATTAAAATGCTGTTGAGACTCTCCCCCCAAACCCCCGAGCCTCAGTTCGACTGCTGTCGGCCCCCGCCTGTTCAAGTTGCTGCTCACCATGGAGGCGACCGGGCGTCGTCCTGGAAGTCGACGGGCCGGTCCTGCTTGAAGAGGACGTAAATGTAGCGGTGGAAGCCCGTTCCTCGGGCGGGGAAGGGGGGCAGGTAGTGACACAGCTCCTCTCCGTCCTGCACCGCTCCTCCTGGTATGTTCCCCCTGAGGAGACGCACTCCGTTCAACACTTTCATCAAACATTTCACTATAGGTGGATATTTTGCTAACAATTGTTTTCCTGTTTAGGTTTATTATTCCGACTTCTATCCATATTCTGTACGTTTCACTGTGACAACTTTAGCTTTTTGAAATATTTAGCCTTTTCTGCCATTTTTTCCTCACAGAAAATGAACTGAGCTCATTTTACGTCCTTCAGATCTTTAGATGTTTACCACCTTTTACTGCTCCTTTCGGCTTATGTCTGCAAATTTCAACTTTATCTGCCATTTCAGCTACTATTTAGCTGATTTTATGCTAATTTGATCTTTTCCACCTACCGGTAATTCCAAATTTTCTTAAATAATTTCAACGTTTTTCAGACTAATTCAGCAGAAATGTGCTCTCTCTACTTCCTTCTGCCAATTTAAGCTTTCTGCTTTTTTTAGCTACTATTCAACTGTTTTTTGCAAAAAAATAATTTCCACTTCTTTGTGCTCATTTCTGCTTCTTTCAGCCTAATTGGGCAAACGTGTTCCTTCTTAAGCTTGTTCTAACTTTTCAGCTAAAATTTTTTGCATTTTTGTAGCTAATTTCAGCCGTTTTCAGATTAATTAAAATTTTACTTCAGCCAAATTATTTATGGTAATCTCAGCTTGTTATGCTCCTTTCAGTTTTTTTTTCTGCTCTTTCAGCTACTATTTAGCTGTTTTATGCTAAGTTTAGCCTTTCCAGCTGTTTCCACCTTTTTTAATCTCATTTCAGCTCTTCTCACTTCCTTTTGGTAGTTTAAGCTTTTTTCTGCCTTTTCAGCTACTTTTAAGCTATTTTTGTTAAATTCTGCTTATTTAAACCAAACTCATCAAATATGTGTTCTTTCTGTTTTCTTCTGCTAATTTAGGCTTGTTCTTTCATTTCAGCTGCATTTTAGCATGTTTTTAGCTAATTCCAGCAGTTTGTCAGCAAGTTCTTCTGCAATAAGCATCCATGCTGCATTTTCTCAGGAACTGTACTCTCGTTTGTCTTTAAACTCATTTGAGAATGAGTTACTCACACAAGCCAGTGGACGTACTCCGCCTCGTTATCCAGAAGATGCTCGTCTGAAAAAAACAAAACGTTTGTTCGATCTGATTTGGAAATGGAAGACTTGTGCGTCTCGTGACTAAAACACCCGTTCTGACCTGGACAGGTGAGCAGGAGGGTCCACAGGGACCCTTCTTCTGCATCGAAGCTGATCTGGGGGGCGGACGCTGCCTGGAGAGGAACGCAGACGACAGGAAAACAAAAAGTTCACGAGGGTTGAGAGAAAACACAGAAAGAAAAGTTCATCTTGTTTCTTGAAACGTACGTCAGTAGGAGTGAGCCAATTCCCATAATGCACCTGGCCACTTCTGTCTAGACCGTAGCTGATGCGGAGTATGACCTCAGGCAGGAAGAACGCCATGGGGAACAGATCTCTAAAGACCCCGTAGTGGTCCGCCAGCCTCCTCACATGGAACGGCATGCTGGTCTTCTCCCAGTTCTCCTGCACCCGGTCCAGGGCGATCTTCACTGGTGGACCAGAAAGACTTTAAACCAAAGTATGTGAGTGAGCTCACCATCAGCCGGGCAGAGCTTACGTGTCCGAAGACGAGAAGCCCTCTCCAGCTCAGCGCTCCTCTTGTTGTCCAACAGCAGCTGCTTCCTCTCCCGCACTTGTTTGGTCCTGCTGGGCCGACAGTGGGCCAGTCCGATGTCCACCAGCTCAGCACCTTCAGAACACGACAACAGTCACGACACGTCGTCCAGACAGCACCAGAGCTGCAGCTGCTCCTCACCGTGCTCAGGGTCAGCCTGTTCCACATGGCTCCTGTAGGTCTTCCACCACACGGGCTTGTTCTTCGCCTCCAGAGCGTGTTTGAAGTAGCGGTTGTAGGTGCGATACTTCTCCACCGACTCCACGTTGCAGCCTTCAAACTCCTGGTTTGGCATCGGACCCAGAGGAGGAATCCATCTCCTGAGGAGCGCTGGAAACAAGTTCTCATTTCAAAACGCTGAACATCAGTGTCGAGTTTAAAACCAGAAATACAACTGGACAAATTACAGGTCCTGCGAGAACACAGTGTGAATGTTTATCGCTGAAGAACTTGACGAAAAACAGCTGAAATCAGCTAAAACACATGCTGACATGTAGCTGACATGGAAGAACAAGCCTAGATTAGTAGAAAAAAGCAGAAAGAACACGTTTTGTTGAATTGGGTTTAAATAAGCAGAAATGAGTCCAGAAGTTTGGAAATTAGGAAAAAAAAAAAAAAAAGGCAGAAAGAAGTTTAAACTACCAGGAGGAGGCAGGAGCTGAAATGAGCTCAAGAAATGTGGAATTAGCTGAATAAGCTAGTAAAAATAGCATAAAAACAGCTAACAGCTACTCCAATAGTAGACTTGTATCAAATTAATTTATCGCTGTTACATTTCATTCATAAAATATTTTGCTAACAGACAAACTGCTCTCACCTTCAGTTAAAGCTGACGATGTTGCACAGTGGTGTGTTGGGGACGACTCTCAGCTACTACCACATGAACTTTCAGCTAAATGTTTGTAAAACTGGCGGAGCTGTAGCGAGTTTGTTTGGCTGTGACAGCCATTTTGAAACAAGATGAGATATTTTGCTAACACAGAGTGTAAGAGAGAACACAAGTTTAGCCCTCGCATGTTTCTAGTGAAGAGAGGCTCCAGACTTGTCTATAAACAAGTAGGTAGATGAAATTAAATGTGAAAAATTCAACACTGAACGTTTAGTTTGTTAGACTGGTCCAGGAGCTTCACAGCTTTTTGACATTCCCCGTCTCGGAAGGACGTGACGGACCGAGACTCTACTTTCAGCCGAACATAAATAAAACAACAACAAATAAACAGAACATGAAGCAGTGACGTCACCGTACCTGTTGCAACAAAGGTCCTCGCAGGACTGACCCATAAATCTGATCCAGGTCGCAAAACTCCAAGACGAACAGAGTTAAGCACCATCTTGAAATGTGTTTTTTTTTCCCTCTTACGGAAGCCGACAGGACCAAACGTTCTTTCTTCTTCTTCGTTGAACGGCGGTTGATGCATTACCGCCCCCACTTGGTAAATTGTGTGAACTGCAACGATGCTTGAAAAACAAAACAAAACATTTTTTCATCCAGTCTGTTTCAGATATTGTATCAAAGCCTTAGTATCATACGTTTTTTAAATTCTGCAATAATTCACTTATTTTAGTGAGCCTGTTAATCTGTTGACTTCTTTCATGTCTGTATTTCTGGCAGTATAATAAAACATGCTCTATCATCCCATCAGTGTTCACATTCATCTGTTTCATGCCTCCCTTTTATCAATAATGTTCTGTTTGATCTCGTGTGTTCAAATCTGACATGTGATATGTCCGTTTCCTCCTGCCTGTTTCTTTCAGCTCTTCTCATTTCTCCTGTTTTTCTTTTATTTCTATAAAACCATTGACCTTTTCTTTTTTCTTCCCACTGTTTTTGCCATATTTGACTAAAATTTTTTCTTCACGATGCTTTTTACTTCTGGTCAACTGAGTTTTATATCTATTTCGATTAATATATATGTATGGTGGTGTCTTTTGCCACTTAAGATGTTATTTCCTCTTATTTATCCAGGAGCTGGTCTCCATACCAACACAACAATTAAACGCATCATTTTTATTCTGTACAGTGTTTATTGTCACCATGATGTCTGCTCTCTTCCTGAACAACTAGTTTTCAAACTGAATATTGAAGATCTGAACAGTTTATTGATCTGGTTGATTGTCCTCCATGCACTGAACAGCGATCAATATTGCGACCATTTCTCCTGAGTAAACTGATCATTTGTCTCCGATCCTCATTCACTCCAAACTCAGGAACAACAAACGTTGACCTGACCGGATCCGCTGCATCCTTTGACGCATCTGTCTATATTTGTACATATCCATCATATTGATTGACATATTCTACAACTGTATTTGAATTTAAGATGTTTTTATTTCCTTTCTTTTCTAATAAAGTCAAATCTACTCTTGATTCTGTGATCATCCATGGGCATATGATTTGTACTGGTACTGTTGGACTAACATTTTATAAATTTACTTTTAAATGAATACATTTTATTATTCATTATTTTAAGTTCTTAACGGTCTCACTTCACATTATTCAGCTCATCTTGTAGCTTTTTGTGCATGTAAGAGAAGCTTAAGATCAACTAATACTTCTTTAATGCTTGTCCCAAAGTGCAAACGTTGGGGTGACCGGGCTTTTGGGTCGCTGCAGCCAGTTTGGAACCGACGACCTCAGGACGTACGCTCCGTCACTGATCTGATCTTCATGCCTTTTTATTCAGGCATTCTTTTAATACCTGGTGGCTCTGCAGCGTTTTTTTTTTTTTTTAACATTCACATTTTGAAGCACTTTGTGCAACTTTTGGCTGCAGGAGAGGGATCTATTAATAAATTTGACTGAGTGATCGATTGACAATGTCATCGATCTGAATCCTTATAGTTTTCAAACTTATGATCCATCCAAAGCTTTGTATTTTTCCCATCATGGTTTGGATGGTTCTGTTCAGGACTGTTTAGATTTGTCTGGTAATTTATTGATCCCTCAAGATGTTTAATGGTGATTCATCATTTTCTACTAATATTGATCCTGTATGTGTTGTTTTAATGTCCCCGTCATATAATTCTTAATGTCTGATATTGAATATTGTTTAACTTTTCTGAGTTTGTTTCTGAAGCTGAGCTATAAACAACACTTTTGTATTCTAATATTGATCTGATTAATCCTGTGTAAATTTGCTCCTGTTCAACACCTGTCAGTTCGATGTGTATTATTTGCACCTATCCTGTGGGAACGTTCTGCATTGTCCTTCTGCTCATTTTTGTGATGTGTGATATTAATGGTCCCATGTAATCATTCTTACTGTGACCAGTCAGTGAGGAACAGAGAGAACTGGTTGTTTTGAAATCATCAAGGGTTGACTGATATTGATATGATAGAGCTGATATGGTATGGTGACGTGTCTCATGCAGTGTCCTTAACTCAGATCCACTCCTTCCTGTCTGCAGTGGACCTTTCAATGATGGTTCAGACATGGGACGGGGAAGGGACGGATTCCTGGAGATTATTCTATAAAACTAACTTGACTGGTCCAGAGAGTTAGAGCAGGTCAGGGTTTCACATGGATGAGAGCACTGATAAGTGTTCACTTTAATTGCATGTTCTGTGAATGTCGGGCTGCTCTCCAAAGCTTTGTAATCTGATGAACTACACCTTGGTCTGTTCTGAGAATCTCAGTTTTTTCCACGACACACCTCATGATGTTTAGTTTTTTTTTTTTACCTTTATTCAACAACTTTTTGAACGTTTGCGATTCTCTCATCAGACCAGATACCAAGAAATTGTAACTGTTTTACTTTTTCAAGTTCTTGTCCATATAAACTAAGTTCAATATTATTAGTGACCTTTTTCCTTGTAAAAATACTCCTTTAGTCTTCTCTAGTGAACATTTAAATCCCCATTTATGTGACCACTTTCAACAGTCGTAATTCCTTTCTTTAACTTTTTAACAATGAACTCTATATGTTTCCCTCTTTTCCACAACGCCCCATCATCAGCATATAACGATCTTCCCATCACGTTTTCCACATCATCAAACATGATTATTAAAGAGAATAATAAAGGGCTTACAATGCTTCCCTGTGGTGTCCCATTTTCAGTGTAATAGTTATCTGAATAGTTTTGTCCTATTCTCACTTGTATGTGTCTCTGACAGAAACTCTTTTATGAACATATGACCTGTGATGCACATTTGTTTCAGTTTTATCCATCTCTCTACGGTAATATCAGACGCTCTTTCTACGTAAAAAAAACCAAACAAAAAAAACAGCTACCACACTTTCTTTATTAATCTGAGCTTCCCTGATTTCATGTTCAAGACACAAGACTGGATCCACCGTGTTTCTTCCTTTTCTAACAGCACTTTGATAACTAGACATGTCTCCTCTCTATAGCATGTAAATCTTTCATTTATCATTTATTCCATGATTTTGTAAAATCCAATGTTAAAGCTTTAGGTCCTGGTTTTGAGCTTTCCTATTTTTCACATTGGTATTATTATGGTTTCCTTCCAGGACTGTGGTAGATTCTCTTCCTCCCAAACCCTAACAAATAAATCTAAAAGAATGTTTTTTGAGGACTCAGACTGAGAATTGTTACACATCTGATCATTTCCAGTTCTATTTTACGTTTCTCAGTGCTTGATCTAATTCACGTATGGTATATTTATTATATAATTTTCACCTTCCTCTTCTTCTAAGAACTCTTTTCCCATCTTCACTAATATTATTTGAACTATGAATTTTAATAAATGCTTTAACCATCATTTCTGTTTTTGCCTTAGCTGTCAGAGTCAGAGTCAGTCAGAGTTTCTTTATTGTCATTCGCACCTCATGTGGTACATGTGGTGGAGCGAAATTATGTACACAGGAACCTGCAGAACCATCGTGCAGAACTGGGACTCCATGCATTTGTCTTATTCCATTCTTTGTCCAAACTTTAGTCATTCTCTTCCCACTGAACTACAAAACTCCTCCAAATTCCTCTTTTTGCATTTTCATGGTTCTTCTTTCAATGCTTTGCAACCAGTAAGCTTCTAAATACGATGCTTTCTTTTTAGCATTTTATAAGCTTTATTTCTAGACTTGATTGCTTTTTCACATTCCTTTGTCCTTTGTCCAGAACCCGTCCACATCACGGTCCGGACAGCCAGGGACGTTATCTACCTGGACTACTTCGTCGGAGGGAGAGCCTTTGTGGAGAACAAGACATTTTCTAACTGGTGCTTTGAAAGGGAGAATACTCTATGATTAGTCTAATCTAAGAGTAAATCACTGCTCTGACTTTTTTAGTTTGATTGTCGTTTGTTCCTGTTGAACATTTCTACTTTAAAATTTATTTCAGTTCGTGCTCGAGGCTTAAGACTTTTTGCCCCACTCCCCTCAGGAAGGAGGTTAAGGAGCATTAAGTGTAGAACCACTAGACTGAGGAACAGCTTCTACCCTGAGGCTGTTAGACTCATGAATCTCTAACTAGAATAATCACTGTGAAAAACCATATCATGTTGCTGCTGATCTGTTTCATGTTGCTGCTGATCTGTTTCAATGTTGATGTGTTCATGCGTGCACATCTGCTCACAGACTCATGTTCATGTTTGTGCTGATGTTCAATGTTTTATGTTATGAGTGCTTAGTGTATATTTAGTTGATGTTTTTCTTAGTTCATATCTTAGATGTTATTACTGTTTTTCTTATACATTTTATTGTTGGATGTAACTGGGACCCTGAGTACATAATTTCGCTCCACCACATGTACCACATGAGGTGCGAATGACAATAAAGAAACTCTGACTCTGACTCTGACTCTGACTTAAGAGACATTACTAAACGCAAGGCAGCTTTTCTTTATGCAAAACAGTTTGACTCAGACTTCTGCTTGGTTCAAGAATCACACTCTGCTGAAGAAGATTACAACTTCTGGAAATCACGATGGGGCGAGGACCAGTGGATGTCTGATGGAAACCATCACTCAGCTGGAACGTTAACCCTGAAGCACAAATTTAATGAGAAGATTATTTTCACTCAATCTGACCCAAATGCACATTATATGTTGATAGTTTTTTGTTACTGCAACCAGTTGTATCTATTAGGTAATGTCTATGGTTATACTAACACAAGAGTTATTCCAAACACTGAGTAATACTATTGGAAGTACCATGGAAAGGTTCACTGGTGTTAAAGTAAAACTGGGAGGGGATTTTAACTGCACAGTTAATGATGACATTGATAGATGGCCTGGTAGAAATAAAACTAACTGTTTTTTGACAGATTTTATGAATGAAAAAAGTCTTATTGATATTTGGAGAGTTACTAATCCAAACAGTAAAGAGTTTACATGGACAGATAACGCTGGTTCTCTGAGATCTAGAATAGATTTTTGGTTAATCTCAGAATCTCTTACTCAGGTAATTTGCAAGACAGAAATTATTCCAACTCCCTTAACAGATCATAAAGCAATTGTACTAATTTTAAACTTATCAACTGATAATCAAACTCAAAGATACCCTGCATATTAGAAATTAAATATTTCTTTATTACAAAACGATTCTTTAAATGAAATAACTAGAAGAAAAATTTTAGAGCGTTTCAAAACTGCAGAAGATAAAGTGGAATATCAAAAACAATGGGAGCTTTTAAAATATGAACTAAGAAGATTGTTTATAGAAACAAGTGCTAAACAAAAAAAAAAGAAATTGGATGAAAATAATTTAATAGCCAATTTAATTTCTCTATCCTCCATATTGCCAGAACATTAATCTGAACTACAGTAAGCAGAGCTCCTAACTTTACAACTAAAACTTGATCAGTTATATATCAGTAAAGCTAAAGGTGCGTTTGTACGCTCAAGAGCCAAGTGGTTGGAGGAGGGAGAGCAAAACTCTATTTCTTTAAATTAGAAAAACAAAGACAAAACAAAAATAGTATAAACAGACTCTCTTCAAATGGTAATATAGAAAATCCAAAAGAACTATCTAAACTTTGTGAGAATTTCTATAAAAAACTATATACCTGAACTATTTCACCGACTCATATGGATGCATTTTTAAAGAATCTAGATAATATTAAGACAATCGGCGAATTCAAAAAATCTGTTTGTGACTCACCCATTACACTTATAGAAATCTCAGATGCTATTAAAAAACTGAAACTAAATAAATCTCCAGGTATCGATGGGAGAACCTCTGAATTTTACAAATTATTCTCAGCTGAACTTGCTCCATTTTTGTTGAATGTGTTTATAGAAAGTATACATAAAGAACAACTACCGTCCACGCTACGTCGAGGCTCTACTCTCACCCCAAAGCCACAAAAAGATTTATTAGTTTTAGACAACTGGCGCCCCATCACATTG